CTAACTTAACACAGAATTAAATGGAAGCCTGTTAGAATGAAAGGAAAATTAGTTCTAATGATCACAAATAAAGAAAAGCACAAACTGTATGACATTGCTTACATCCATAAGAAGTATTGTCTAGACTTGATATATTCATTGCAATCATGAACTGAACTGTAGTCACCTACACTAGGTCCACACAAGACAAGCCCTGCCAACAGTCAATCAAGCAAGGGTAGGGGCTTACCTATGAACTATTGGCTGTTCGTGGATTCTGGGAAAGGAAGAGTTACTGTCTTTAGTTGTGTGCCTACTACTCATCTCAGTAGACTGCAAAGGACAGCTCCAAACCCAAGGTCACACAGATGGCCCTGGTTAGTCTCAGTGGGTCACAAAACAAAATCAATAGACAAGACGGTGAAAGAGATTTGTGGAGAGGAGGAATAGAGGTGACAGTGATAGGAGGTGAGAAACTGATCAGTGTGTACTACATATACCTGGGAGGAAATGTCTAAGACAATTTTTAATCAATAAAAATTGTTTTCCAAGTTACAGGTGGTGATGTTAAGGAATAGAGGTATACTGTATAATCATTTCATTGTAGTGCAACTGAGGAGTCATTAATTTTTAGCTGTGTGACATTTCACAAACTCAGATGACACTGTAAAAAACATCCTGGCCCCAGACCAACGTGACACTATTTTGATACCAGGACAGTTTCTTAATTTCTTAGTTTCAACAAAATTCCCACTGAAAATATAAAAGTTTCTTTAGTCATTTAGTTATCAGGTAAGCAAATGAAGATAAACAGAAATACAGTGATAGTAATTTTATGCAAATGAATTTTATAGAACTATAATATACCATTTAGTTCCAATAGTATTAGTTAATTTTTACATTCAAAGATGTTCTGTGATCAATTTCCCTCTCATCTTTTTATTTATTTTACATTTATTTATTTTTGCATCCTAACCAAAGTTGCAGCTCACTCCTCTCCTCTCAGGCTCCCCATCTATTTCTCCTCTTCTGTTTCTCTTCAGAGAAGCGTTACAGGACATGGCCAGTTCAGGCTGTTTTGTTGTTGTTTGTTTTTGTTTTTTAATATTTATTTATTACGTATACAGTGTTCAGCCTGTACACCAGAAGAAGACACCAGATCTCATTACAGATGATTGTGAGTCACCGTGTGGTTGCTGGGAATTGAACTCAGGACCTCTGGAAAAGCAGTCAATGCTCATTACCTCTGAGCCATCTCTCCAGCCTCCTAGGCTCCATTTTTTGAGACAGGGTTTCCTTGTGTACCTTGGTTGCCTGAAACTCCCTCTCTAGACCAGACTGGCCTCGAACTCATGGAGAGCCACCTGCTTCTGCCTCCTGAGTGCTGGATTAAAGGCTTGTGCCGCCACTGCTGAGGGCTTCCCTCTCATGTGTGGGGCATTTCAGTGAGTCTTCTCTGCTCTGCCCCGTAACAAGCCTTGCCCACTCAGGTTTACTGTCATCATCATCCCCCTGTAGCTCTTACTCATCAAGGGATTAGAGTAATGATCATGTAACCTCAGAATTTCCTCTCCCCAAGGTCCATGTAGAGAACACACACACACACACACACACACACACACAAGGTATTAAAAGAAATGACCACACAACCAAAAACATGAGATTACAGAAAAATCTGATTTCATAGAAAGGGAATGTTGTCCCCTTCCTCCAGGCAGATCCAAATGTGTGTCTGCTCAGACCGAACTGCCCAGAAGTGTTAGCAGGCTCTTGTGGCACAGAGCCCTCAATGCTACCATTTTACACTGTCTTCCCAGGCCCAAAGATTCAGACAAGAAGTCACAGGACACACAAGTAGAAACTTTAGAGGTGGTGTTGCTTTAGTTTCAGGTTCCTTCTCCTTTTTGCTTTTCTAGGAGTGAGATATTAAGTAAGCACTGTCCTCTATTGTGTAGCTGCGAGCCTTCCTCTAAATGTAAACAACACCAAGTACAGAAAATGACTGCCACACTTGAACGCCAAACAAACACAAGATGACAAGCACAGATTTTTGGCTTCATATTAAAGCTTGGTTTTTTTCAACAAACCCTTTTGTTGCCTCTGAAGACAATGGCCCTAGTGTTTCTGAGCCAGATCCCTGTGACCCTGGACTGAGCCTCCCTTTCCAACCCAACAGAGACCATTATACACATGGCACCAGTGTCACCTCTGGGTTGAAAACCAGCTACCACTTCCCTCCTGGCCTGATGCAGCAGAAGAGTTTCTTTACTGACAACAAAAGCGGTGCTATATGAACCTGGGACTTTGTAGACCAAGCCCAGGGTGGTTTTATGAGGTACGTGCTTGGTGGTTTCTGCTGGGGCAAGAAGCAGTAGCTTCCCTGTGGTCTCTGTTGGAAGGAGCTGAGTATTCTCCCACTCCCTTAATTCAATGAAGGTTTCCATTTTAACTGATGTCTATTGTTCCATACCTCTCAGTAGTATCAACAACTGACTTTACTAGGTAGAACCTATGGGCATCTTACTCTTACTGCAGCCTACAGTAATCCTGAGTATCCCTAGCATGTACACACATGAGAAGCTCGGCACAGACAGTAAATCTCTCCTATCATATGACGGGTGACACTCTATGTCACTGTGATGGCTAACCATGGCTGACAACTTATCATGTGGGAAGAGGGACTAATTGTCTCCAACAGATTAGCCCATTAGCATGTCAGTGGAGCATTTTCTTAATGATTGATGTGGGTGGGGGGTCCACCGTATAACTGTGTTTCTATCACTTAACATTTGTAATAATAAAAACTTGCTGGGGAGACAGCTCAGGGGTTATGGGCACATGATAATCTTGCAGCGGACCAGCGGCCCATTCCAGGCAGCTTAGAGATCTAAAACCTGCAGTCACATGTACACACACTAAAGAAAATGATGAGTCAGGCATGACAACTCATGTCTTTAGTCATAGCACTCAGGAGGCGGAGATACATTCATCTCTGTGAGTCCTAGGCCAGCCTGCTTTACATATTGAGTTCTAGGCCAGCCAGGACTACGTGTGAGACCTGTCTGGGGAAAAAAAGGCAGGGGAGAAAAGGGAACAGAAGTGACGGTCATCAGTGCCTGTTACTCTCTCTGCTTCCCAGCTCTGCAGTCCACAATGGAGCTGTTACAGTCAGCCTTCATCTTCAAAACAGTCCTGACAAGAGACCGCTGTCATTTCTGCTTTATATATGAAGGAACTGAGTGAGAAAATTAGATGATTTAATGGTGGCTATGCAAATAATATGGCATGCAAGAACTTGATTTCTGGTGTCCTTAGCATGTTTTGAGTGGAACATGCCAGACTAGATGGAAATACAAATAAGACAGGGTTCATAAGTCACTGTGGTTCAGGAGCTGGCTCTGTTGAGGCTAGGAAAGAACCCATTTATCCCTCAAGTATAGTGAGCCATTTCTAAGAAACCATAGCTCTTCACTCACAACGTCGTGACTGGGTCACTATGAGAACTATCCGAAGAAGTCACTCCCACCATGCTTCCATTGACTCATTCATTCAGCTACCCGCCCATGAATCTTTTAACTTATTGATCTACTTACTTCTTTTAGGAATAACAATTTTCCTCTCTTGCTTACACTTTCAACCCTAACATCATCCTTAGTAAACCTGATCAAATAACGTAACTCCCTCTGCAGCCCTCTACAGCCCAATTCTTGTATATATTAAAAGGGTCACCAATAAAAGTGAATGTGGCAGGCAGCGTAGTTGATGTCAGTGGAACGTGTTTTCCCCCTCCCTGTAGCTCCATTTCCACTGAAATTTCCTTCTGAGAAAGAGATAATTGCCCTACCACTTCTTCAACGTTTGTGACAGGAAAGAATTCAAGTCACAAATGCAAAGAATTTTTCTGCAGCCTCATTATAATACTCCGTATGAGTAAAATTCAATTCAGTACATCTTCAAACAAGAGGCTTGATAAGGAGCTCATTCTCCTTCAGAAGTTGTAATATCTGAGACGAAGTTCACAGACGGATAGAAACTAGAAGTTGGTAGTATGAGGTTTGCACTCTGCCAATACGCTCGCTCTTCCTGGGATAAGCGAGGTGGAACCTAACTCTGCATGATAGAGTGCAGGTAAGTGAGTTTCTTTCCTTTTCTTTTCTTTTTTTATTTTTTCTTTTTGGTTTTTCGAGACAGGGTTTCTCCATATTGTTTTGGAGGCTGTCCTGGAACTTGCTCTGTAGACCAGGCTGGCCTCGAACTCACAGAGATCCGCCTGCCTTTGCCTCCCAAGTACTAGGATTAAAGGCGTGCGCTGCCAACGCCCGACGTAAGTGAGTTTCTGCATGAGCATGATGAACTATGGACTGCAGGCTCCAGCAACAGCCAGGCCCTTCTGATGGCCGACTAGATCATTCCGCCACTGCTTTCAACATCCTTGGCACACTGACTCATCTCACAAACATTTAGAAAACTTTGCAGCTGCGTCACCCTGGACCAAAACAAACTGCATTCTGCATGAGAACCACCCAGGAGACACATCTATGGGTGTTTCTCGAGAGGTTTGCCGGAGGTGGGAGAACCCACCCTGCGTGTAGGAGGCGGCATCACCCCACGGGCTGGGAACCCGGGGTGAATAATGAAAAGGAGGTATGAAGCTGAGCATCTGTGTTCATGGCTTTGCATCCACTGCAGACTGGATGTGATGACATCCCTGGTGCTGTGACTTCCTAACACGAGGGGCTGGACCCACAAACTGAGCCAAAAGCCATTTCCTCATTTAAGGTGTGTTGGGGAAGTCCTGTGTATATGTCAATAAATTACTGCTGGCCAATAGGAATCTAGATAGGTGGGGCTAGGAGTCCAGGAGGATTATGGGAAGGAGAAACACAAGAGAGTCAACATGTAACGCCATGGGGGTAGGAAGCCTGGAACTATTCTCCGGTAAGAGAAATACTTAGATTAACAATTATGGGGTAATTACTTAAGTCAGAGCTAGCTAGTAAGAAACAAGCAAGGCCAATAGCTTCATAATTAATACAGCGTCTTGTGTGTTTATTTGGGGACTACAAAGCGGCAGAGCCCAGGCAACTGGCGGGAGATAAACCAAAGCGGCTGGCAAAGAAAAAGCTTCACTTAACAAAGGTGCTTTTTGTCTGGTATTTTTGTCAAGCAACAACAACAAATCAACTATCACAACATTTAAAAAAAACATTCTAAATGTTGTTCTCTACTTAGCAATTTTCTGAGCAATAAAAATACCAAACCCAAACAGCATAGCATGAGCTGGGAGTCTGTAGACATAGTTGTACTCTGAGACCTGAGCAAGAATGTCCAGAAGATTGTCACAAAGCAGAATTGGAGTTCCTTAGGGAGGCATTTTAAGGAGCTGGAGAAATGGCCCAGGGGATAAAATGCTTGCAGCATAAGCATGAGAACCAGAGTTCAGATCCCCCAAACTCATGCAAACGCCAGGCGGGGGAGGCAGCTCACCTCCAACTGCAGCCTGCCCCGAAAGCAAAACAGGGGATCCCCAGGGCAAGCCTGATAGGAGACGACCCATCCTGGCTAGTTCTCCATTCACTTGAGAGACGCTGCCTCAGTGAGTACAGAGGAAAAGCAACTGAAGGAGACTCCTGGTGTGAACCTCAGGTGTCCCCTGCTGCTCACATACATGCATGCATATCTGTACAAACACGCAGGTGCTAGGATCACACGTGAGTGCTCACACACACACACACACACACACACATACACAGACAAAGGGAATTTTAGCTACAGACATGAAGGGAGAGAGGTGCTTAGGAAAAGGATTGTACAGAGGTCTCTGTCCCTCTTCCTGCTGCAGTGATAAAATACTAACGAAAACAAAGAAGAAAAGATGGTTTTAGCTCATAATCCAAGGCACAGTTCGACATGGTAGGGAAGGAAGGCAGCAGGAGATGGAAGCAGACGCTCACATCGAATCTACAGTCAGAAGACAGAGCAATGAACTCAGGCTCGCTGCTCAGCTCCTCCTCGCCAGTCCAGGGCCCGGGCAGGGAATGGCTCCTCCCACAGTGGGCAAACTTGCTAGCATCAACCAAGGTGACCAGAATATGCTAACACATGTGTCTTGCTCAGGGCCTTTCTCCCAGGCGATTCCAGATTTTTGTCAGATTAACAACATAACATTCACAACATCCAAATACAGACAGAACGCTTCTCAAGAGAGAGTCGCACATACGCCATCACAGCAGCCACACAGATGATTCTGGCAGGCCTCTGAAGTTACCTCTCAAAGTGTTTTTAGGGAACTGTATTCTCTGGCAAATGAGTCTAGGGTGGTTTCTGATGCCCATGGATACAATTCCAGCCCCATAACGCACCACCAAGAGTCTCAAGGGTTGCACAGGGTGTTAGACCTGCTGTTTACTGTTAGCACAGTTAGAGCATATCTGTGAGAGCCTCAGAAATCACGGGCTTGCATCTGAAAGGGAGAAAAGCCATGCTTGAGGTTACACGGGCTTAGACCTGAAGCAAGGCTCGTCGCTGCACATTTAAAAGGAAGACTCTCTGTGCTGGCAACCTTCACCGAAACTGCTGATTATGCCAGGATTCCTCAGACTCCAGCCAGATTCCAGAGTGGGGGCTCCCTTTCCATTCCTGTACCCCTTATTTTTCTCCTTCTACCCTGCCTCAGAAAGACAAGTTGTTCTTGCTGATCTCATGCCTTCTTCTTTAATTTTTAATAATGGCAATGCCACACATGAATTACAGCTGTTTTTCACAGCCACCCAACTTTTTAAGTAAACTTAACTGTAGTTTTCAAAACCAAGGAAGAGGGGGGGAGACATCAGATTTAAAGAGAAAATTAAAGACGGTAAAATTATTATCTTTCTTTTTTCACTCGGCGATTCCCTTTAGAGGCCCCTCCTTTTCCTCGCTTGGGTCCACCCTGTTGCATCCCAGCAGCACAATCTGTCACTACGAACCTTTGAAGTCGGCCTGTGCACAACAAGCTCTGCAGTACTCTACCAAGAACTGGGCTTAATGAACTTCCATGCAAAGAATATGGAGAAGCCCGTGGAGTGGTGGGGCGGGGGTCCCCCTTTGGTAAAATCAAACAAAAGAAAACTTCCTTTGCTGTCGCCTTGAGAAAGGGAGTTAAGCAGATTAAGACCATGCTCTTTTGATTAAATGTCTGTCCCTAGATACGGCCCCCAGCAAAGCCGCATCCAGGCTTCAAAATCCCTCCTGCCACCCGACTCGGCTCTTTGTAGTCTGTCTGGCACATGCCGCTGCTTCTGCTGGTTTCCTAGAGCTCCGTCCACTGTGGAAAGCATCCCTTTGATCATAATTTGACTTTTTCAGTTCAGCTACCAGCTGGATGCGCAAGTCCAGAATCTCAGCTTTGCTCTTCCGATGTCCAGGCTCATCGCACTGCCCAGAGAAAGAGTGAAAATATCAGAGCAAATCTTGGGAACACACATGCACGCGTGCGCACGCACACACACACACACACACACACACACACACACACACGACAAAGAGGAGAACAGTTGAAGGGGAATTAAGAGCTCTTGGGAGCCGTGTCCTAGAGTCCTAGAGCTGTGGCCTTGGCCTTCAGCAGTGACTCAAGTCCTAGTCCTGTTCTGTCTATGCCACTGTCCTCCATCTGACAACTTGCACCACACAGTTGTTTTGATTCACACTTCTGGCCTTCGTGTCTCAGACTTAAAACATAAAACCCATCCTCCCTTTCTGTCTTCACGGTATCCATCACTAGACACAAGAATGTTTCACATCCGGTCACCAAGATGTACGTGGCTTTCTCCCTATCCACCCATCGGTTATGTGTCCTACCATGTAATCTCACGCCCAGAGATGGATCAGACCATCTGAAGACTGCCTCCAGGTCAAGTGTCAATCATAAACAGTGATTTTTGTCACATATCTATGTTTCTGGATAGCTGCTTCTACATCAGGGACTCCCGTTCTCCTCCTCGGACTTCCCAGTTATTATCAAGGATATACAGCAAATGATGTAAATGAATACCCAAGTGTCGTCGGGTAAGGCGTTTGCGAAGAGATCACCTCCTTCCATACCGTCTGTGGTCATCACCCTCTAGGAATCAGTGTGTCCATCCCTCATCAGTTCATGAAAACTTGACCTTCTGGGTCCTTATAGAGGCTTAAATTATAAAGACATGATAGATTGTATTGCCCATCATTGGCAATCAGTTCAATCTTCACCCCCTCACCCTCCTCTAGGTTAGAAGAAGCAGCTATAAATTCCAACTTTCTAATCACACAGTTGGTTTCCCTGGCAACCAGACAGATCCTAAGACTCCAAAGGCATGCACCAAGGATCTGTTCATTAAAGCCAAAGATGTTCCTGCCACCAGAAAATTCCAGGATTTGGGACTGTGTGTTGGACATTCCTATCACTGGACAAATCCTTAAGTCTTGGGACCTCTGTGTCAGAAACGGGGACCCAAGAACAAGTGTTACAGAGCAAGCATTCTGCTGGGGCCCCGCCTTCCAGGTTGTTAGCAGCTAGGAACCGGAACTAAGGAGTGACTGTAGATATAGTCATGTGTTTGGTTGGGTTTTGGTTTTGTTTTTAATGTTTGTTTGGTTTTCTGCTTTCGTTTTTTGAATGTGAAGCCCACGTTAGCCTGAGACTCAACATTCGTCTGCCGCTGCCTCTGGAGTCCTGGGATTATGAGCATGCACCATCTGCCCAGCATATATGTCTTGCTGTATCATACTGCTACAGCTTTATTGTAACTTCTCTTGGGACTTTGAATCTAAACTTTCATGTGCCACCTCTGACTTAGCTTGTCCCCTAACTCCATTTCAACCCCATGTTTTCATTCCTGACCCCAGGTCGAGTTGCACCAGGGCCCAGCATTCTATGCAGCTACCTCCCCAACCTCCATGGAGCGATGCATAACTTCTGTCACACACAACCACCTGAACACAGTGGAGAGGTACCTCCCACTACAAGGCAGAGGATTGTGCTCAAAAAAGCTCTCAGTCCCCAGAGGAATGAGGAGTCCAGGAAAAACCACCAGCCTGTCCTGTCTCCATGCATGATAGGGGAAAGTATTCCTTACCAACAAAACGCAGGACAGCGCTTGCTTCTCCATTGTACGTGTGTGCTTACCCACCCTCTGTGCTGTGGACTCCTTGCCGAGTCATCAAATGTACCGTGGCAAACTCACTGGGAGGTTTTGCCAGTTATTTGGAAAATGTCTAGCTTGTTTCCCCAGGTCACAGAGCTACTGGGAGGTTTTTCCAGTTATTCGGAAAATGTTTAGCTTGTTTGCTGAGGTCATAGAGCTACTCCGGACAACAGAGATCCAGACTGCAGAAATGAAGCGAGAAAGAAGAGGGAGAGTGTTTTCTCTCAACATAATATTTTTACTATTACTTGGGATTTTCATACAATGCAAGATTCCTCCCAGGTTCACCCCACCCTTGTGACCTCCCCAAAGAATGAAGAAGGAAGGAGAAAGAGGAGAAGGAGAAGAGGAGGAGAAGAAAAAATGATATATACACCAAGTCCAATTCATGTTGCCTGTTTACTCACTGGTGCATGGTCAAATGCGCAGTAATGAACTCTTAAGTAAACTGAGTCCTTCCTCACTGACACCCCGCCAGAAGGCATCCGCTGTGAAGAGCCACACTTCAGCATCCTTATCACAATTTTTAAGATTTCTCTCCCGTGACTTCCTGTCTACACTGTTTCTCTTTTTGGGGGGGGGTGAGAGTCTGTCACAGATGCCTCCTATGTCTCTCACTCTCACCTGTGAGTCTGCAGTCACCAACACCACTGCAAAAGAAGCTTCCTTTCCCTTTCTAGTCACCGCAGCACGAGCTTCCACACGGCCTCTGGTGACCCCACAGCCCACTGACCTCAACATGGTCTCCAGCAGCATCACATGGACATCAGCAACACAGCCCTCAGACGCAGCATGGACCATGGTCCTCTGTAAGAGCAACAAGTGTGCTCAACCACTGAGTCAAAAAAAAGTCAGGGAGGGAGGGAGCCATGAGTTTTTAAACGAACGTCTGATGCAACTGTCTTATGTGGAGTTTCCTACAAAATGCATCATCATCTGCAACCAGATCCCAGTCACCCTGTGCAATGGAGACTTGTCAACTTACTTCCCAAAGAGGGATGCTCTGAACTCTAGCCCTCACTCTACCATTAATTTAACCAGGGACGTTACTTGAGGCATTGAGTGTGTCCAAGTATGTTCAGATAGTTAGCTGTGTAACAAGCACCAAATCTAATTTGGTGACAATGTTTCTTGCCCATAGGACAACTGAATGAAAATATTCTTGGTTAGCAGCAACTCTCCTTCACATGGTGATTTGGGTTTCAGGCTTTCCTTCGACATAATTCCCTCACCCACCAGGACGCTAGAATTCTCTGCATGCTACTACCTATCTGCTATCTCCGCTCTCATCTTACTCAGGCTGCTATGGAAGTTTCTGTTCTCACACTTACCACCTCTAACACATCCCTCGAACACAAAGAACAACCTTTTAAAGACATGCTACGCCTTAGCAACTATCCTTAATTCATAAGAAACAGCACACCTCCCGGACCTTGACCTAATGTTTTCTTATCACATACATCATGAGAAGCATCTTGACTTCAATGTGATAAAACCTAGAGGACTCACTAATGATAATTGATTGATTTAAAATTTACCGTCTTAAATCCTGGGGGGGGAGGGAAATCTCAAGATCAACCAAATAAAACCACACATAATCTATACTCTCAACAGTATTATGACTGAAAAAATATCGTGACACTAAGATTAGCTGTAAGGGCCGGGGGAGGAGAGGAAGGAGAGAGAGCTAGGATTGACATGTGAAGCAAGCTTGTTTCTAATTTAAATTTTTTTTAAAGATTAAAAAAAATTAGCTGTAAGTGGAGAAATTAATGGAGTTCCAGCCAAGCTCCTAACACTCACATACCACTGAAAGAAAGCCTGTGTATGAAGGAGAGGGAAAGGGGCATCATAGGGTTCCAGGAAAATATCAAAGGGGTGCCCAGATCTTAGACATGGCACTGTTAGAATCACCCCTAGAAAGAGAACACACCTGAAGCCTGGCCTCCTATCAGAACTTGGTGATTTCCAGTACTAGGTGAAGGCAAATGGTAATGAGTGTTAGGAACAGATGCTGCCATATCTAAAGAGTATTGCTGGGGAGTGGGGACAGAGAACATAGGGACGACAGAGAACTCTTGCAGAATTGAAGATGTAACTTTTGGAATCCAGGGAGTGATGGAGAAGAAAGAAGTAAAATGAAAATTAAAAGCCTCTACTAAGCTAAAATACAGAAAAGAGAGTCAAACCACACAAACCATCGCCTTCCTGACATATCCACCCATCCACAAAGTACTACCCTGGGAGAGCACAGAGCTGTCAGAACAGAGAGTCATCAAAGTAGTCATCGCATTGACCACAGATTAAATAGGAATAAAAATAGCAGCTAAAATCCTGACCCCAAATCAGCCACAAAGCTGCAGAAACTGTGATTCAACACTCCAAACCGAATGAAATCACATAAACATTTACAAATATGGATAAGCTCTAGAGTTACAAAGACTATAAACAAAAATGAGGATGGAGGAAAAGAGACAAAATACATCAGAAATAGGACAGTCACAGGCTACCTGAGATGGGATCCAAGTGAAAATTTAAGAAAAGAAAAAGCAATCTGTGGTGGTTTGAATAAGAACAGTCCCCATAGATTCTTATATCTGAATGCTTGGTCATTAGGGAAAGAGATTAGGAGGTGTGGCCTTGTTGGAGGAAGAGTGTCACTAGGGGTAGACTTTGGGGTTTCAAAAGCTCAAGCCAGGCTGAGTGACTGTCTCTTCCTGCTGCCTGTGTACCTGGATGTAGAACTCTCAGCTGCTACCTCTTAGGCACCGTGTCTGCCCGCTTGCCACCATGGTCTCTGTCCTGATATAGACTAAACTTCTGAAGTCACTAAGTCAGCTCACAATTAAAGGCTTTCCTTCATAAGTGTTGCCATGGTCACCGTGCCTCTTCTCAGCACTAGAACACTAACACAGCCTGAAATGTGTTAATAAAACCATAAAATAATGAATAAGCAAGGTAAACACTCCAGATAATGTAAAACAAGAAGAACCAACCCTCAACACACTGGCCCTGAAATACAGACACAAAGAGAAAAAACTTTAAAGCATAAAGAAAAAAATAACTTGCCCTTACCTAGGAAATCAATAAAATTAACAGCTGACTTCTCACCAAACAGAGTCACTGGGATAGAATATCCAAAGTGCTATGAATAAACTGTCGAGCTAGAGTCTTGTACCTAGCAAGATTATCACTCAAAAGTAAAACTAAATAAAGATGATCCAAGAGAAATAATAAATGAAAACACTTGTTGCTTAAAGACTACACAGAGCAAAGACTGGCATAAGCCGCAAAAACACAGGCAGGCCTGGTAGTGCACACCCATAACCCTGCACGTGGGAGACACATCTCTTTTGAGTTTGAGGCCAGCCTGGTCTGGCACATACACATGATTGACTATTATGAAACTATGAAAAAGAATAAGGGTGGTATTTATGAACCGGTATATAGGGTTTCTGATATATGTTATCTTGGGGGAAAGCAAACATATATGCATCCTTATACATGTATCTACACACAGCATGGACTCCCTCTGTAAAACAGGGGGCATTGAGGACAGGGAGGAAGCATGGTTTTACCAGCATATTCTGCCTGACAGAAGAAATTCAGGTGCACAAAAAAAGTAGGAGACAATGGTTAGTAGGATAAGAAACAGGAAAGGAAGGGTGTCCATTTTTATAAGTATGATAAAAGAGAACAGCATTTTTGTAAGTATAATTTTCACTATGATTTAAAACAATTTTGTCTGTGTGTGTGTGTGTGTGTGCGCACGCGCATGCGCGCACCTGCGTGCGTGTGGTGTGTATGGGCATAGTTTACCTGCAGGTATCTGTGCAGATGTGTGCCATTCGTGCACGCAGGGGACAGGGAAGACACTGGGTACCCTCTTCTATCACTCCCTACTTAGATTCTCTCACGGAATTTGGAGCTGAGCTGGGGGCCAGCAAGCCGTTGTGATCCTCCTGTCTCTGCACTCACGGTGCTAGGGTCACAGGTCTGAGTGGCCATTCCCTGCCTTTTATCTGGGTACTGAGGAATTGAACTCAGGTCCTTACGCACGCACAGCAAGCACTCTTAGCACTGAGCCATCTCCCATGTCATGTTTGCTTCAGAGAGACGCTAATGTTCACATGCACACAAATCAAATAGGTCATAAAGGGTGGGAAAGAGGAACCACCGAAGCTAAGGCAAGCAGAATGACGAGCATAGCCACACAGGAGGAAGGGACGAGGGAACCAGCCCGTGTCACTTGTGACACAGCGTCTACTAGGTATCTTCAGAGGCGGGCAGCATCTAGGGAGGAGGAAGGGAGCCGCGGCAAACCCTTTAGTGCACTGGGCTTGTTTAGGATGGGAAGAAGCAAATTCAAAGCTGTGTCAGACACATTGCCGGCTCGTGCACATGAGCAGACGGAGATTCTGAGAGCCAAGTTCAAACGAGAGGAGCTGAGAACGACCGTGTCTGCAGGGGGATGATGACAAGCAGTGTGAAAACCCATGATCTAAAACTTAGGTAGAAATCATAGGTGCTCATGTACATGCATGCAAATAAATGTGTTGGGAATGAATATGCATGAGTGCATTGTGCTCATCTGGGTCTGTATTTAGAATCCACTCATGTTTCTTTCTCCGGAGCCAGGCGAATAGAGATGTGTACACTTTAGCGCTGAGACCTTGGTCCCTAGCACCATCCACACAAGCACCAGAATCCCCACACAAATAGCTCATTCCACGGCTGACTCGGGAACCAAAAAGTACGCTGTTAGCTCAGAGGTGAAAATGTACCCGGACAATTAGACATAGTCACCAGCTGCAATACTGGGGAAGGGGATCCCTTGAGTCCACGTCAATGATGAAGAGGAATCGTGAGAGGGGAGGATTTTCACGTAGAACTGAAGATGGCTGAGACATGAGCGAAGGAGTCACAGGTATTCACCACCATTTTTCATGGTCATTATGAAGACCGGTTTGAGTGAATTAGCAGCGAGTGCTAAATCTGATAGAAGTTTCTGGAGAGAAATAGGACATTTGCACAATTTGGGGGTGACTTCTCAATTTGGAAACTTGTTAGTCTCACAATAAACGAAGAGGAGGAGACAAGAGGTAAGAGGAGATGAACGGAGATGAATAGGAGGAGAGAGAAGAGAAAGGGGGAGGGAGGAGAAATTGGATCCTACTGTTACCAGGTAAACAAAAGTAGCATGACTTTAAGAAAGTGACATCGATCCTTTCCACCTTCCAGCCTGACATGTGTATCTCATTCTGACCCTGGGGAAGCTTCAGTTGACCCTAAAATGAGATGCACACAGCTTTTACAAAAGGGGGCACTGTGTTCTTCACAAGTGTCAATGCCCCTTCGTAGAAGACAAAGAAGGGTTGTTCAAATGGTCCGAAAAAGAAAGCTGGAGAGATGTGACAGTGAAATGCCATATGCAATCTCACGCGCTCCTGTGCATGAGGGGCGAGTCTCTAGAGGACATTTCGAGTCAATGGACAACATTGGAATAACAGATGTTCAGTTCTATCGTATTGTGTTAATAGTAATTGCAGTGGGATTTTATAAGAATACTTACGATGTAGCCCAGACAGCCCTGCCTCTGCCTCTCGGGTGCCAGGGTTACAGTCATGCGGTGCTACACTCATCTCCCTAAAGGAATGCCCTTATGGAGACATTCATACTGACAGGCTACACGGTACGTCCCAGGCTAGGCTGAGCTACAAGATCCTGTCTCAGAACAAAACAAGAAAAGAAGTATCCACTAAAATCTTTAGGGCTATATATGATGGAGGAAATTACTTGAAATATTATTTATGTGCGTGGGGAGACAGAGACAGAGGGGATCAAAAGCCACAGGTAGAGGAAGCAACGGTCCGCTCTGTGTCACCATCAGGTGATGTTTATAAAGCAGACGTGAGCGTCTTGTGAGCTTTGGTCTCACACCATTTCTATAAGGCTGAAATTATTTCCAAATGGAAAACATTTGACAATAGAAACTCTAAAATAAGATGATTGTATTTCTCCTCAAAACCCTTACCAGCTCCCAGACTGAGTCACAGAGAATGTCATTCAAGCACATTCCCAATACCTGGGAGACTCAAGACACTGCTACATCCCCTGGGCCTGGCAATGCTCCACCCTCTACCTGCCAGGCTGTAAGAGAAGTGTCACCATGAGCTGCCACGCAGTTTTTGGTCCTGTAATCCTTTTACTAGGCTGCAAGCTTGTGAAGGGGAACTCTATTGCCTTTTTTCCTCTTCAACCCATCCCCAATACCTTTCACAACGCCTTAACACTAGTGTGTGTACAATAGTGTAAACTTGACCCCGGGTTACGCTGCTGATTGGGGTGGCTAAGGAATCACCCAGTACTAAACTGAGAACCGCACAGCTAAAGCTGTAGCTCTGCCTTCTGGAGTTTGGTTTGAGAGCCCAGGGCCAGGTTGGCATTTGGGGAAGGAAAGTTCCCAGGCGAGTGGATTAAAGCACTGTAAATATTGATTAAATGAGTCAGAAGTGGTTCCAGCTAAACAAATTCCACAAAGTGGGGAAGATGGGAGAGGCAAGGGGAGGAGGGTGGAAAGGAAGAAAGGGGTGGGGAGGGGGTTAGTCTCCATACCCTGATGCTCAGCAAACTTCTTGAAGACGTTCTCCATGTAACCCCATCGCCTTGGCCATCCACCCTCCGGAAAACGTCAGAACCAAAAGGGTGTCAGAGGGAGGAGAGAAGGGGGAAAATCCTCAGTCACAGAGCCGAGTAAGAACCCATCTGCAGGGGCCAGAGAGATGGTTCCGCAGCTAAGATCTGAGTTCAATTTCCAGCAGGCAAAACCTCCATCACACACATAAAGTAATTGTCAAGTCCCAGAGAAACCCTGGCCAACTGCGGTGCCTATTAGCATACCAAAGCTTGCACTTGGCCTTCGAACCCACTCAAACGCTGGATCTCTCAGAGTTTCTTACCCCACCCCTACCTTAAAGCCCTCCAGCCCAGGGCTTCTCTTCCCTCCCCCTACTTCTCTTTCCATGTAACCCTGCCTGCGAGGCCGGCCTCTCTTCCTTCCCGTGCCGTTCTCTGGTCACTTTCCGCTCTTCTCTTCCTTGCTCTCCTCTCTTCCTCTCTCGCTCTCCCGTCTCTCTCTCCTCTCTTGGCCGGGTTCAGTGTCTAGTTCACTACTTTCTCTTCTGCTCTGGACTCCCCCTCACACCTACAATAGAAACTTCCTCCTCAGCCATACCTCGGCGCGGCCATGCCCTCATTCTCAGTCAGCGATAAATACTTCTTAAATGGGACTCACGTGCAGCTCCACCACAAGATTAATGGCGGCTCTGCTTTCTGCAGTGAAAGTCTCCAGATCTAGCAGGTAAGTGATCGCTATTTTGTGAAAGCATTTCTTAGGATTCTCCTCTTCTTGGAATCAAAGGCCTCCTGAGGCTAGCCATAGAGCACTTGTCTATGAAGTGAAAATTAATATGAACACTCACTCTAAATTTCACAAATTATTACTGTGAATACAGTTATAGAATACACCAGTAAAGGTAGTTTAGGACTGAACAAATATCGAAATGCAGTATGTAAAATCTTGTTGCCAACACGAAACTACAGCATGCAATTTAGCTTCCTCTAATTATTTTCACTAGTCCAAAAGATTCAGTCTTTCTGATAATCTAATCTGTTGTTTGTGTCAAAAAGCTATTTTAAAAGTATAGCAACATAGTGGTGCATGCCTTTAATCCCAGTACTCGGGAGGCAGACCTTTGTGAGTTCAAGGCCAGCCTGGGCTAGAGTGAATTCCAGGGTACCCAA